CAGACCCTGATGCCAAGCACCAGTGCCCAGCCTCAGGCCAGCACATCAAGTGTCGCGCGCGCCCACAGCAACGCGCGCGCAGACCCGCAAGACAAAGATGCTGCCATCGGACTTAGTTTTTCCTTGTAATAATCTAAGTCCTTTTCATTGTAATCATAGACTAGTTTTCATCATTTTCATTTCAGTGTGCTTCTACAGCTTTATTAGGACTAGTCTTGTAATGTTGGTTTATTTTTTTTAAGCATTATTAAGGGGGACCAAACAATCAAACATTTCAATCAGCATTTTCTGGTGTCTCTCCCCCTCGACACCACATCATTGTAATCATCATTTTCAGTCATCAATAAAATCATCATCAGCATTCAAAACCCAATTCTCTCTCAGCTTCCGCAATTGCTCACGACATTGGTTTTCCCGCACGGCACTGACAATCTAGTCTAGCGTACGGCGAGGACCTCATTGGCAGACAGCAACCGCACTGACATCGGTTGCTTAGCCTTACGTTGCCCTTCCAAAGATCATCAGGAAGGCGTTGTGTAACACTACACACGCGTTTTACTGTTCATGGGTATTGTTCACGGTACTGTTCATGGGTACTGTATACGGTACTGTTCATATGTACTATACACGGGTACTGTACACACATACTGTTCATGTTTACTGTACACGGATACTGTTCACGCAGGTGCGGTTACTGTTCACACGTGCGAAAAAGGCAGAAACTGCCCAGAAAATTTCAGCAGCCTTTTATATCCGTTAACCTTTCGAAATCCACCCGAGGCCCTCGGGACCTCGACAAAATGCATCAACCAATCCTAAAACATCATACGAACTTAGTCGAAACATCAAATCACATCAAATAACGCTAAAATCGTGAATCACACCCCAATTCAAGCATAATGAAACTAAGAACGTCCAACTTCTATATTCGATGCAAAAACCTATCAAATCAAGTCCGATTGACTTCAAATTTTGCACACAAGTCATAAATGATATAACGAAGCTATAAAAAATTTCAGAACTAGATTTCGACCCCGATATCAAAAAGTCAACTCTCCGGTCAAACCTAAGAAATCTTTAGCCTTAGATTTCTAGATTCTGTTAAATGGCGATAATTTGATCTAGGGACCTCCAAATTCGTTTTCGGGCATATGACCAAGTCCCAATTCATGATACGGAACTACCGAAATGGTCAAAACTTTCATCCGGGTTCATTTGCTCAAAATGTTGACCGAAGTCAACTCAATTGAGTTTTAAAGCTCTAGTTCACAATTTAATCCATTTTTCACATAAAAACCTTCCGGAAAATTATACGGATTGCGCACGCAAGTCGATGAATTATTAATACCGCTTTTCAAGGTCTTAAAAATACCGAGATGATTATTTAATTTAAAGATGACATTTTGGGTCATCACAATTAAATCTTAGGTGCATGCTTCCAATGCTAACTTATATGCTCAATTACAAGAAGAGCAGAGCAAAAATAAAAAGATGAGGAAGGAATTAGACTTATTGAAGAAGTATGTGAATTTCAATACATCATCTTCAAATGAGTTATCATTTCAAGAATACAATCAAGGATCTGAGGATTAAAGTGACAATTACTTTGATAATGTGAATGAAAGTGGTTCTAACCTTGATAACGTGAATGAAAGTGATTATAATTAGGATTGAGATGTTCATTAGACTATTAAGTTTTATATTTGAGATATTTTGCTTTTTGATGAAGGATTATATGTTATTAATATTAATGTTATGAATTATGTTTTTTCTTTATTATAATTATATTAGACGTGTGTGGAATGATTATGATTATATTGTGATTTACCTGCGAATTGTTTGTCGGGAATTTTTCTGGAATTTTACATGCAAATATTTCATGGGAATTTTCTTGCGAAAATATGCTCCAACGGATTGTACTTGGGATTTTTAAAGGAATTTTTCTGCGGAATATTCTCATAAATATGCACAAGAAAATTCCTTTCATCCATAAAATTTCACCTCAAAATTTCCAACGTATTTACTTGAGGTCTTCATGGGGAATTACCTGCGGATTTCTTCCTACATAATTTCCCAAGAAAATTCTTTTTGTTTACAAATTTTTACCAAAATACTCTTGCGATTTTTTTGATATGCTTCGCTGATAAATCCGCAAGTAAGTTACATGGGGATACAAAATCCCCAGGTAATTTACCTGAGGATCTTTTAATTCGCAGGAAATAATTACCTACGAAGGTTTTTCCAACGGATTTATTTTGGTAGGAAATTCCGCAGCAAATCAAATTACCTGCGAATATTTATATATTATCCCTAGGAAAATCCCCATGTAATCAACACTTTCTTAGTAGTGAATCTAATATTTATCGGACACTACTGGTGTCATGTATCCTCTAAGCAAACAATTAGCTCTTCAGGAGTTGTTGATACATTTTGTACTATTAAATATTGCTCAGACACTTCTGGTATCATGAGAGAAAATCACAATCAAATAAACAATGTAAAATAATTGTTTAAGCACACGAAAACTCCTCTTCATAATATTTTCCTACTTCAGGAGGCAATTTCAATTGTGTTACTTCTTCAGGAGCAAATTTAAAATACAAAATATTGAGTATATATTCTCTCAATTATATTACCTCTTCTGGAGGTGAGTTGTAATATATTCACATCAAGAGCGCGTTCATATTTACCCGATTTATTAATATTATCACATTCACTTCAGGGAATGGATTAATACTATCAAAAGTTCTCATCCATCAAGAAATCGAACATAATTATTTGAATGTGCAGTAATCACATCAAATTGTGATGCTTCAACCTCTTTTTAAAATATTTACTACTTCAGGAGCAAATCGAGGTGTGTATTTAATATAGAAAATATTTATGTAGCTTATCTTCAATTATAATCATAAAAAGACTAAATTATCACTTATGGTGATCATAGGCATATACCACTTCTGGTGGTTAACAAAATATAGTTACAATGAGATATACGAAATATAACCACTTCTGGTGGTTAACAAAATATAGTTACAATGAGATATACGAAATATAACCACTTCTGGTGGTTGTATATTTCTTGCAACTCTGCTAGAGTTTAAGTTGATCTAATAATGTTCTCCATATTCTTCAAAATGACATAAATAAGATATATTATAGTAACCATCATTATTAAATCATAATTTTCCTTTATGTACAACAATTACATAACCATATTATCTATTACAAACAACAAAAATTATAATATTTACATTTCTACAGATTCACCACCGATTACATGACTTGTTTTTCCTTCTGGGAGTGCAAGGTAATCAACTACATTCAAATGCATGAAGTCTAAATTATCTTCAGAAATAAAATTTGTTTCAGCATTTTTCTCTGTCTTCTTTAGGGAGGCTTGATAAAACTCAACCAGGTGCTTTGGCGTATGTCAGGTACGTGACCAATGCCCTTTTCCTCTACATCTATAGCATGCATTTTCTGCATTTGGTGCTTGCACCGCTTCATGCTTTTGTTCCTTCCTTTTCCACTGCTGGTGGTGAGGAGGCTTCTTTGGTGCATTATTATTACCATGATTGGGGTTTCTTCCCCCACCACGGCCATGACCACAACTGGGGCCATGACCTCTTCCACGTTTAGCTTGGTGGAAGTTCATCTCATTCACTTCACGGAATGGACAAGAACCAGTAGGTCGGCTTTCATGGTTTTTCATTAATAGCCCATTATGTTGCTCGGCTATAAGAAGATGTGAGATAAGTTCAGAATACTTTTTAAATCTCATCTCTCGATATTGCTACTGCAGGAGCATATTTGAGGCATGAAAAGTGGTAAAAGTTTTCTCCTCCAACATATCATGATCAGTAATATTATCACCACATAATTTCAATTGGGAAATAGTTCTGAACATAACAGAATTATACTCACTGATAGATTCAAAATCTTGTAGCCTTAGATGACTCCAATCATATCGTGCTTGTGGAAGAACGACCATCTTAAGGTGGTTATATCTATCTTTCAAATTATTCCACAGTATGACTGGATCTTTAACAGTAAGATACTCTATTTTCAGGCCCTCATCAAGGTGATGGCGTAGGAATATCATTGCTTTGACACGGTCTTGGTTTGATGCCTGATTTTTGTCTTTGATGGTGTCTGTCAGACTCATCGCATTAAGATGAATTTCAGCATCAAGCACCCAAGACATGTAGCTTTTTCCAGATATATTCAGGGCTACAAATTCAAGTTTAGAAAGATTTGACATTATTTAATAAAGAAAGTTCGTACCTCTAATACTTTCAAAGTATTTGCTCGAGATGGCAGAGTCTCGTGCTGATAACGTGTTATAAAATAAAGACCGTAAAGTAAAGACAAGTATAGAGAGAAACTGATATATTATTCAAATTCAAACTGATGTACATAATGGACTGAAATCTCTTCTATTTATAGAAGAAAGGAAGATATTGTGTAAGCTGCTACTACAAGCTACCGTGTAAGCTACTATTATAAGCTGTTGTGTAAGCTGCTACTATACTAGATATGGATAATCTTCTACTGAGAGCAATGTTTATCCATAACGGAGTATCGAATGGATAAGCTCATTGTACCTAGTATAGATAATCTTCTACTAAGGGTAATGATTATCCATAACAGAGTACTGAAAGGATAAGCTCATTGTACCTGGTATGTATAATCTTCTACCGGAGATAATGTTTATCCATAACGGAGTATCGAAAGGATAAGCTTATTATACCCGGTATGGATAATCTTCTACTGGAATAATATTTATCCATCACCGGATACCAAACTGATAAGCTTCTTCAGAAGGCTTATTTCCAATAGAGTATTAAATAGATTAACATATTTACGGCGAAGTCACATATGAATAAACTTTTTCAGCAAGCTTATTTACAACAGAATACTCAATGAACATACATAATATAATATATTCGTACGGTAAATGATGTTTTATTACTGTTATGAACTAACCACCCACTGTATTTAATAGCAACGCCTTACCTTAAGCAAAAAAGTCCACCTTTTTCCGTTTCGTTTATCTCCACGAAATCGCTGGTACGTGAAGATCGATTTCCTTTACAATCGAAGCTAATTGATAAGGAGGCCGAATTCGTAGATCTGAATCCTCCGATCGCGTGGTATGCTCCTATACATCTCACATTGCATTTCTGAATTTTCCCCATTTTTTCTCCTTTTTTTTTATGAGCAGATCTGCGTTGGTTCGAGTCAGATTTTTTATTTTTCGTATATGTTCTGCCATTTTAGTTGTGTGGGATCGTGATTTTTGATTTTGTTAATTTCATTTTTGAGGACGAAGAGTCTCTATGTTGCGAGCGACGTTATACAGACTTCTGAATGTCTGATTTTGTTTCCTCATTAGATACCGAAAGAGAATAATTAGTGCTCCTTATTTGTTTTTGATGAAATCTGGATGCCCAGTTGGTACTACAAGTTGTTAGCTCGTTAATATCTTTGTAAAAATTGAATATATCAGTGGATAAGATGCAGATGTCTGCATTTAATATTCTCACGGTCTCATTAGCATAGAAAATTAGGCTTTTTGAAATTGGTGATGAAAATTCTGTACAAAGCACCGCTTGCTACCCTTTAGCTCTTATGAATTTTCGGGTTGAAAGAGCAGCTGAGCATGACTATCTCCCTTCTTTGGTTAGGGAGGAAAAGAAAAAGGGTATTGTACCTTTTCTGTGTAGAATTCTCAGCTCCAAAGTGAGAAGAAGTGGAGGAATTAAATGTTCTTAACATTACTTCTACATATACCAAACAAGTGGAGTAGCTTAAATAGTCAAACCAGTATCTCTCTAGTCAGCGGTGGATGCAGCATATTGGAAGCAGGTTCATCCGAGCGCAGTATTTTTGACGCAGAACATAGATTTGTGTATGGAAATGTACTAAAATTTCAACGAATATTGAACCCATAAGTTTAAAAGTAATATGAGTTAGTGCAAAGAACCTTATTGGTCAAATCCATCAATTTTAATTCATGGATCCGCTCTGCTTCTAGTTCCACTTTTATCTCCTCACTATGGCCAAACCTACTGTAAGGTAATTCCTCCGTATTTCATAACTTAGCTTTTTATTGCCCACCTATTCTATCTTAAGATAGAACAACTTCTTGCTGTTCTCAGGTAATTGTGAATAATGTTTGGTTTTCCTCGACTCTTGCTATAGCTACCATAAGAACTTGACACCAAGATGCAACTGATTCAACTGCAAAGCAGTCTAAACCTTTGCCAATGCATTCTTATTCTTATATTATAGCTCTCTTGTCCAACACATAAAATCTGTTACATTGCTTATTGGTTCTATACACAACCAATTTTCGAGTCCTTCCTCAAACATTTGCTTTTACTTTAAAGCTTAAATTTTTAGTTTGACCTCCTCGCGTGCTATTTTCCCTTATTGATTGGCGCTTCTTTATAACTTGTCCTTTGACAATTTTCATTATCATGTTGGGCTATGTTATTATCTTTGTAGATGTTGCTATATAGCATTTTGACCTAGTATAAACTTCCACTGAAAATAATGGTTTATATTCTAGATAAATTATTTGCTCAATGCGAGGAAACATTTGAAGGCCTCTTCTGAAGTTGGATAAAAGCTAACGTGTGACTGAATTACAGAGGAATCAAATTTTGGATTTGTATTTGTTCCTTTTGTGTAGTCTTTGTTCTTACCAAATTATACATGAGTTTAACTTGAAATAATGTGTGTCATCTTTTGGTTAAGCAGAAGAATATGGCCAATGATGTCGAAGCTAAAGGATTCAACCCAGGCTTGATCGTCTTACTTCTTATTGGTGGGCTCGTGTTGGCGTTTCTTATTGGAAACTATGTCCTTTATGTGTATGCCCAGAAAACCCTTCCTCCAAAGAAAAAGAAGCCACTCTCCAGGAAGAAGATGAAGAGGGAAAGGCTGAAGCAAGGTGTGTCGGCACCCGGAGAGTAGATGTTTAGACAAAGTGGGGGGACATTCCCCTTGTTCATGTTGAAGAGAGATTATGTCTGAGTTATTCAGCAGCACTTTAGTCAGATGGTTGTACTTTTTAAGGTTAATACTTTCCTGTCAACATTGTCTGAATTTCATCAAAAGATGCTGCCGTTAATTGTGCTAGCTGACTGAGAAATTTTCCTAGAAGTTACTGTTCTTCCTTTTTCCTTCTAGCAGAGCTATTGGTTTTCTGTTTTTATGTTTGGTGGTGATGTGAGGTTTATGCTTGCTGCTGCTATTCTTAGGTCGCATGTTTGTGGAAGTTGTTGAGCTTGGCTCTCGAAAGACTATAATGGCAGTGAAAGAAATGTGGCGGGAACTGAAATGTGATAATCTTTTAGTTGTAATAATAGGCGCATACCACTTAGAAAGAAAGTTGCATTGCTTATGCATTTACAAACATATTGTAGTAGATGAATGTTAGAAGAAAAAAGAGGCAGACAAAAGTCCAGTTCAGATCGCAAAAACCTTGTAGTGTTCTTATTGCCTATGAGCTATGATTGATTCAGTGGCTGTTCAGCATTATTGTGGTTTAGTAGAGAAGAATGACAGAGTGCCGTAGTAACGCTGTTATTTGAGGGGTATTATTACTTTTAACTAGTGTAAAAAATTATTTATATTCGGTAGCCGAAAAAGTATATAAAATTTGTACTATAATTTTTGTATATAACATGTAAAATGTATATATATACAAAAAATATATAATTTTTCGGTTATTATTTTGAGAGCGGTTATACAGTGTCATTTTCCCCGTTATTGGGGATGTGTTGAGTTATGGTCATGTATTGATACACAATTCTAATGATTTTATTGATCAACAATAAAGGCAATTGAACCAAATAAAATCACATCCTCATTTACACAAATTATGGTAGTAGATATATTTTAAATAGAAAAAACTCAATGTACTACTTTTCATATTTAATTACATATATTCATCTGCATGCAGATTTAAGAAACATTCTCCATATTACCATATTCCAATGATGAAAACAAAGAAATTTTAACTCATCTTTCTTTTGCTTCGTTTAACCTAGAATTAATGAAACACACCCTGGATGATTGCTCCTTCCAAGTTTCAAAAACACTCAACTAAATCAAACTTTCATACCAACTCATCCATGATTTTTCTTCCCCTGCAACAAAACCATGTATTAAATCAAACTTAAAAAATGAACATAGCTCTAATGCTACTTCGTGTGTAGTAGCCAGTAGGAAGAGAGATTTCTCACATGAGTTAGGCCAGGCTTAGTAGCTCTAATGCCTTTAGATTTGCGACCATTATGTCGTCCCATGGATCGATTTGGTGAAGGATTGTGAGGATGAGTTTCAGGACCTCTATAATCGATATAAATATCCGAATCCATGTTTGTCAAATTCCTTCTCCCTATCAAGAGAACACCATTTATATTATTCATAAACATCTCACGTACATGACAAAATCCCATATTGATTGGTTGCTGAAAAGATTGGGAAGCTACATATTAGGTATTTGAAGAACATTTGTAGAAAATTATGCGGACTTCGTCCAAAGAGAATAATACCACAACTAACCTAGCCTCCTCCGTCCCTCGGGACCAACAAGGGGCATCCCCCCAATCAAGCAAGAAGGAAGTGGCTCTTCCCATGGAGGAGTCACATTGACTCTATTTATTATTATAGTAAATCAGTTACCTCTGGTATGTGTCACTTTCCTAATCAAAAGATAGGAAGGCGCCCCTTCTCCCCAAGTTACGGGTTCATTTTGTCGAGTTCTTTCGACATGGTTCTCTTAAGCACCCTACTATACTCTATTTGTTCACATGTGTTGGTTTGGGGTACGACCAGTTCATTGGGAGGATCGCCCTCCCAATTCGAAGTTTTTTCCTAGAAATTTCAACCTTGTTGACTATGACAACAGTCGCGACTATAAACAGACTCGTAACTATGGCAGGCGGTAGCTCTGCTCTCTCGTGACCCCTACTCTAATCAAAAGATTAAAGACCCCTACTAATGATCGGTTGCCAAACTATGGCCGAGAGTTTCGCCTTTTGAAGCGCCAGTCGCGTACGGGCCAGGCCGAGTCATGAAAGCTTTGATGACTCAAGGTTCATCATAAATAAAAAAGAACGAGGTGCCATCAGGAGGAGTAGGACGAACATACCTGAAGAAGAACAAGGTGCCATCAAGAGGAGTAGGAGGAAGAAAATGGAAGTGAAGCTAGCCTTAAGTTTCATGACAAATAATAAAGCTAGCTAGCTTGAGTTAATATTTTCACAAACTCAAGGGTCTTACTTGTGATGATAAGAATTAAGAGTTTTTTTTTTCTTCTTTTTGGCTAAGGGAACAAGAAACTATTCCTAAATCACGAGGAATTGGATCAGGGAAGAAGCATGAAATGTGGGCAAGGGGGGTATTGAAAGATGGAATATATATGAGTTAAGGAAATGCACAAGTTTTGGCTATATTTGAAAGTGTCGTTATCCTCACAGCAAATTAGTTACAAGGTATTGATTGATAATGTGTCGGGTTGGAACATTTATGTAGTGAACAGTGCCATTTGTGTATTATTGCAAAAATGTCCAGCAGTTAATTTCGGGTTCCATTTGCTAGCCTCATGAATAATATCATTATCTTCCTGAGTAAGATCACGTCTTTCCTTACGAGCTTGTATACATGCTTTTATTCAGCCTTGGTTGGATCATCCACAACTATAAAGCACATCTATCAGCTACTACAAAGAGCAAAATGTCGTGTCTGATACGATTTACTCATGCCATTATTTTTGGCTTTAATTGAAACGTGACAGACACGTGAAAGCGGAGTTATGACAGTGTTAGATTGAAATAATTAGATGCAGAGCCGGATTCAGGATTTAGAGGTTTTGGGTGTCAAAAATTTTGAACGTAGTCATATTACAATTTATTTTATCTAAATAAAGTATAAATTTAATCGGTTTAGTATATTGGATTTCGGTTTCGGTTATTCGTCTTTAGAGTTAATATAAACAAATCGATCTAACAAAAAGATTACGTAATAATTATGATAACTTGAAAAAAAAAACATAAAAATTCAACTGGATTATGCATTTTGTACAAGAAAAAAGACTCGTCATCACTTTATATTTAGATACTTAAGGAAAAAACTTATACTAATAAGACCTCTAAATATTAAGTAAGTTTACAAACATTTTTCAATTTATGGTTTTTATGAAAATTAACTCACTCGATCTTATATACAATTGTCCTACTTTAGAACAATCCAACAACAAAATAAACTTTCATCATTGATTAAAATAATAACTTATTCAAGAATTCTTTTTTTATTTTTTATTTTTATTTTGGTTTCTTCAAATAGATTTCTAGAGTTGTGAGAAAACAATTAATTTTTTTTATCTACTGATAAATCATGGAGGAGTTAGGAATATAAAGAGCAACAATGGGGATTTCTTTGAATAGATTTGTGAAATAATTTTTTTAAAAATATTTTTATTAAATGTTTAAAGAAAGAAAAGATAAAAGAAATTTCAATAGGACCTATTAATAAATAAAAAAGAGCAATTAAATAAAGAGAAATAAGAAACAAAGGATGAGCTAGGCTGGATTTGAACCCCCACCATTTGGGTGAAAATGATGGTGCTTGATAGTGGCACCTTGAACCGTTTTGCTATTGAGGGGGTATATATATATATATATATATATATATATATATGCATACATACTATTGCATATTCTCGGCCAAAACTAGCGGGTAGCGTACCATCCCGCCCCTTGCACGTAGATCGCCCCCTGATCAGGTGTCATGCGGAAGCTAGTAATGCAAACTATGAACGATGATAAATTAAACAACAAAAGAGAAATCTATCAAAAGAGATACAAACATCTAACGTGATTCGGTCAATTGACCTACGTCGCCACGGGCAAAGATGAGCAATCCACTATATAAAAGGATTACAAAATATCGGAAGAACAACCTCACAAAAAGGCAAACACAAGTGGCACGCTAACATTTGTCCCGAAAATCTCCCCCTAAACAATACTCCCAAACCTCATATGGCTACATTATGGATGCTATTGAATTAGAAGGAAAGATCCTTAATCTATAGAAGTCCAAATCTTTTCCTTTAAGAAAAGGGACTAGCCAAATATGAGAGATTTATTATTTCCTTTTAAAAGAGAGAAAACTCAATTATAGTAAATATGTTGTCCTTTCCCTCAAGAAATACGAAAACTAAATATGGTAAAAGAATCAGGAACAAATACCTAACATGCAGTACCCTATAATTTTCTAGTATCGGCACATAATGTTTACACAAAACTAGAGTACTTTTCATTTCATGCGGCCATGGGCAGAGCCTGGGCGAAAAGGGTTCATCCAAACCCTCTTCGCCGAAAAAATACGTTATATATATTAAAATTATTTTTATGTATATATCATAGATATTGAATTTTCTTGACTTTTTTTATATGTTTAATTCTTTATATTTTGAATTACCTTGCTGAAACTGCCTACGGCATGTGTGTGCATATTTTTTCTTTTCATTTTGCATTTAGTATTAATAAATCCTGCAAAGATTGATTGGTAAACTTTTAATTTCATAGTGTACACTAGAAATGTTGGCTATTGCCTATTAGATTGTTACAAATGTGCATAGTAGCATGAGGTTGTTTTCCTATGTTCAATATTTAATTATTCAATGATTTTGATCAATTATAAATAAGACGTAAAGTCAGTCAAAAACTTTTTAAAATACCAACCAAAAGAGAGAAAAAAAACCCAATTCGATATCCAACATATGCAATAAGTGTGAGTTATTTCTCATCAGCTATATTAAGTAGTATAGGATGGACCAGCTATATTAATACTAAGACTTATCTTTTTTCAGGAGGCGCAGATGATAAATCCTCAGTAAATGTATACTGTGTCTACCCAATTTAAGTGTTTCAAAAACCTCACTAATGCTCAGTAATGAATTAGATAATAATAATTTAATAACCTTTTAAAATCGAATAGCAAGAAATTTCAAAAAAATTCATAACACCATCATGTTTATCTTTCTATTTTACTTAATTTATCCTCGTTCAGTGAAAAAAATCAAAATGTTTTATGATGTTTTCTTTTTTTCTTTTCAACAACTTTGTATTTCTATTTTGTTGGTAAGGTGGTAAATTTAATCTCCAAATCATATTTAATTTTCCTTGTAATTTGATTGGACACAAA